TATAATTTTTGAGGTTTTTTAGTACTGGTAGCCAGATTTTGTTCATTTTCATGGTTTCTGTTGCACTCCAGACCAGGAAAGCCCTCTGACTTTAAACACCACACAGCTGAGTAGAAATGCAATCCGTTTATTGAAGATATTTTTTTAAAAGTAGCAATTTAAAAAACCCTTTAAAAGAATAGGTAAATCCAATTAGGTAGAAAGATAAGCCAGAACAGATAGTCCAGGAAATTAGTCCATCAAAGTTCTTTAAAAAAGCAGAAACGTCTATAGCAAAATTCAAGAATTGGAAACATGAATCAAAGGCACTTAACGCATAGATCTATCCAAAGCAAGGCTTCCAAGGGACAGGAAAGATGTCTTGACTTGATTCCAAACGATGCTTCGTCTGACTATAGATCCTGTACTTGACACTTTTATCTCCTAATTATGCTATGTCCCAAGCGGCCAGAAACGGGTTTCGTTTTAGCCTTGAATCCCTTATTGTTCTTTCTTGGAGCCTGGCAGAATGCCTAAGAGACTGGTTTGCTTTTCTATTCTGACTAATAACATCCCATCTATTTACTGGCTCATTGATTTCGGCAGCTGGCCCAGGTGTCGAGCTATTCTCAGGCTCCAAATCATGGGGATTCTCTGGTAGCAATTCAGGGAGCGCACCATCACCCCCAAACCCTTCAGGAACACTCTCATCAGAAAATACACTTTGAACAGGGATCTCCTGGTCATTCTCTGCATCGATATTTATTTATTTATTTATTCAACTTGTATACCGCTACTCCCAATTTGGCTCCTCATCATTGGAAACACCATTACCTACATGAACCTCATTGTCATTCCCAACATCCAAAGTACCCTGATCCTTAAACACAAGCATAGGCTGAACTCCAACGGTTTCTTCCTTTCTGTTGAAATTGTCCACCTGCTTCAGGTGGATCTCAATGGCTTCTCTGTGTAGCCTGACATGTGTGTGAATCATATATATCTATCTATAGCTATGACTAGATGGCCCTGGTGAAGGGAATTGGACTGGATGGCCTTAAGGCAGCATTTCTCAATCTGAGGGTTGGGACCCCGGGGGGGGGGGTCATGAGGGGGTCAGAAGGGTTGCCAAAGACCCCCAGAAAACACAGTATTTTCTGTTGGTCATGGCATGGGGGTTCAGTGTGGGAAGCTTGGCCCAATTCTATCATTGGTGGGGTTCAGAATGATCTTTGATTGTAGGTGAACTATAAATCACAGTAACTACAATCCCCAAATGTCAAGGACTATTTCCCCCAAACCCAATCTGTGTTCATATTTGGGCATATGGAGTATTCGTGCCAAGTTTGGTCTAGATCCTTTATCATTTGAGTCCACAGTGCTCTCTGGATGTAGGTGAACTACAACTCCAAAACTCAAGGTCAATGCCCACTAAACCCTATAATCACAGAATCATAGAATTAAAGAGTTGAAGGAGACCTCGTGGGCCATCCAGTCCAACCCCCTGCCAACCCCCTGCCAATATTCCTGCCAAGAAGTAGGAATATTGCATTCAAAGCACCCCTGACAGATGGCCATCCAGCCTCTGTTTAAAAGCTTCCAAAGAAGGAGCCTCCACCACACTCCGGGGCAGAGAGTTCCACTGCTGAACGGCTCTCACAGTCAGGAAGTTCTTCCTCATGTTCAGATGGAATCTCCTTTCTTGTAGTTTGAAGCCATTGTTCCCTTGTGTCCTAGTCTCCCTTTTAGTGTTTTTCTGTGGGTCGTGGGAGTCCTGCATGCCAAGTTTGGTTTGATTCCATTGTTGGTGAAATTCAGAATGCTCTTTGATTGTAGGTTAACTATAAATCCCAGCAACTACAACTCCTAAATGACAAAACAATTTTTTTGAGTGATGATCACTGCTTGGGTTAGTGGGTGTCTTGTGGCCAAATTTGGTGGCAATTAGTCCAGTAGATTTTGAATGTTTTGGTATGTTAGCCAATATCATTTAAGTTTGATACAGACCTGTCGTTGGCTGGGTTTAGTGCTCTCTGGATAAGGGTGAACTACAACTCCCAGATTCCCAGGGTAATCACCACCAACTCCTGCCTTTATGCACAGTTGGCCAGATTGGGTCTGTGTGCCAAGTTTGGTCCAGATTCGACGTCAGCTATGTGGACTGCTCTCTGGATAAGGGTGAACTACAACTCCCATAATCAAGGTGGAGTCCCACAAACCACAGCAGTATGTTTAGTTGGTCATGGGAGTTCTCTGTGCCAAGTTTGGTCCCAGTGCATTGTCGGTGGGGATTCACACTCCTGTAAATCAAAGTCAATGTTCCCCAGACCTCTCCAGTATCTTCTGATGGTCATGGGGAGTCTGTGTGCCAAGTTTCTTCCAGCTCCATCATTTATGTTGGTCTCAATGGTCCGTTGAAGTTGGAGCTGAATTGGGTGAAAGTATTGCAAATCCCATCATCCATGGTCCATCCTCCCCCTATGTGCACCAGGAAATGAGTCACAGGTTGTCTGTGTGCCAAATATGTTCCAGGTCTATCCTTCGTGCGGGTCACAGTGGTGTGAGGGAGCCGAGTAGGGTGAAGGTATTGCAAATCCCATAATATGTGGTCTGTCCTCCCCCAAACCACACCAGGATGTGGGGCATGCAGGGACAGTCTGTGTGTCAAATTTGGTCCTGATCTGTCATTTGTGTGAGTCGCAGTGGTGTGTGGGATCTGAAGTGATTGAAAGTACTGCATATCCCATCATGTGTGGTCCATCCTCCTCCAAAATTCACCAGGACATGAGGTGGGTCATGGGGGGGGGGGGGTCCAGGCAAGACAGAATTATAGAATTATAGAATCACTAGCCGTCCCCTGCCACGCGTTGCTGTGGCCCACATGGGGGTTCTGTGTGGAAGGTTTGGTCCAATTCTATCATTGATGGGGTTCAGAATGCTGTGTGATTGTAGGTGAACTACAAATCCCAGCAACTACAACCCCCAAATGTCAAGATTCTATTTTCCCCAAACTCCACCAGTGTTCACATTTGGGCATATTGAGTATTCGTGTAGAGTTTGGTCCAGATCCATCATTGTTTGAGTCCACAGTGATCTCTGGATGTAGGTGAACTACAACTCCAAAACCAAAGGACACTGCCCACCAAACCCTTCCAGTATTTTCCACTGGTCATGAGAGAACTGTGTGACAAGTTTGGTTCAATTCCATCGTTGGTGGGGTTCAGAATGCTCTTTGATTGCAGGTGAACTATAAATCCCAGCAACTACAACCCCCAAATGACAAAATCATATTTTTTTTTTGAGTGAAGGACATACATTGGATTGTTAGGTGTCTTGTGTCCAAAGTTGGTGTCAATTCTTCCAGTGGTTTTTGAGTTCTGTTAATCCCACAAACGAACATTACATTTTTATTTATATAGATAGAATCTTAAGAGTTGGAACAGACCTGGTGGGCCAAACAGTCCAACCCCATTCTGCTAAGAAGCAGGAAAGTCACATTCAAAGCACCCGACAGATGGCCATCCGGCCTCTGCTTAAAAGCCTCCATAGAAGGAGCCGCCACCACCTTTAGGGGTAGAGAGTTCCACTGCTGAACAGCTTTCGCAGTCAGGAAGTTCTTCCTAATGTTCAGGCGGAATTTCCTTTCCTGTAGTTTGAAGCCATTATTCTGTGACATAGTCTCCAGGGCAGCAGAAAGGAAGCTCCCTCCCTCCTGAAGTTCAACAGTGACATGCAAGAGACTCCACTTAGGCAGAAAAAAACGAAATGCAAAGATACAGAATGGGGGACAATGCCTGGCTCGAGAGCAGGACGTGTGAAAAAGATCTTGGAGTCCTCGTGGACAACAAGTTAAACATGAGCCAACAATGTGATGTGGCGGCAAAAAAAGCCAATGGGATTTTGGCCTGCATCAATAGGAGCATAGTGTCTAGGTCCAGGGAGGTCATGCTCCCCATGCTCTATTCTGCTTTGGTTAGACCACACCTGGAATATTGTGTCCAATTCTGGGCACCACATCAAGAGAGATATTGACAAGCTGGCATGTGTCCAGAGGAGAACGACTAAAATGATAAGGTCTGGAGAACAAGCCCTATGAGGAGCGGCTTAAGGAGCTGGGCATGTTTAGCCTGAAGAAGAGAAGGCTGAGAGGAGATATGATAGCCATGTATAAATATGTGAGAGGAAGCCACAGGGAAGAGGAGGGAGCAAGCTTGTTTTCTGCTTCCCTGGAGACTAGGACGCAATGGGACAATGGCTTCAAACTACAAGAAAGGAGATTCCATCTGAACATGAGGAAGAACTTCCTGACTGTGAGAGCCGTTCAGCAGTGGAACTCTCTGCCCCGGAGTGTGGTGGAGGCTCCTTCTTTGGAAGTGTTTAAACAGAGGCTGGATGGCCATCTGTCAGGGGTATTTATTTATTTATTTATTTATCTTCTTGGCAGGGGGTTGGACTGGATGGTCCAGGAGGTCTCTTCCAACTCTTTGATTCTATGATTCCTCCTCCTATGACTTCCCCTCACATATTAATACATGGCCCTCATCATGTCTCCTCTCAGCCTTCTCTTCGGCAGGCAAAACATGCCCAGCTTTTTCAGCTGCTCCTCATAGGGCTTGTTCTCCAGACCCTTGATATTTTGAGTCACCCTCCTCTGGACACATTCCAGCTTAGAGTCAACATCTCCCTTCAGTTGTGGTGCCCAGAATTGGACACAGTGTGATTCCAGGTGTGGTCTGACCAAGGCAGAATAGAGATGGGGAGCATGACCTCCCTGGATCTAAACACTAGACTCCTATTAATGCAGGTCAAAATCCCAATTGTAATTGCATGGATGATATTTTGTTATTTTTCCCTTTTCCTTTCCTTAGAAGATAGCTAGTGAGCTCCAAGAACCTTCTGCAGATTATGAATTGTGCTGATGGCACTCTGCTATATTTTTGTGGACTCAGCCCCAAGGGAGGGTTATTTTTGAGCCTAACAGCTCTTGATTCCTAACTGATAGCAATAAGCGAGGCCACCACTTTTCTGCTGGGGAAAATAGTTTTAATGATGGTAGAGGAGGCGGTGGCTCAGGCCTCGGCCACGTCCATGAGGGTGAAGGCCTTGACGTGCTGGAAGCGGTCGCAGGAGAAGTCCACGTGGAGCTGCATGGCCCCCGAGGTGCGCGGCGTGAACTCGAAGAAGATGCTCGACTGCTCCCCCGGAGCCAAGGCCGCCACGCTGTGGGACGGAAGGGAGAGAAGAGGGGAGGAGGGGGGTTAGAGCAGGGAGAGGGCACAGAATAACAACAACAACAACAACAACAACAACAACACTTTATTTATATTCCACCATTCTCACCCCAAAGGGGACTCAGGGCAGATCACAGCACAAACAGTCAGTGCCGCTTTGTATAGACAATACACGGATAGACAGAACAGAACAGAAGGAGGTGGTTTGTTTCAGCTGTTTTTGGTGCCATGGAAGGTTGGCCTTGAGTCCAGAGGGTGCTGTTGCTTTATCCTGATTGACAAAGAGCCGTCAGGACTTCCTCCTTCCTTTTGGTCACCCAGCATTTTCTGATCTTCTTTCTTTATGGCATCGTAAAACACCTCCCCTGCTTTTCAGTGGTACCAAATTTCTCTAATCACAGCTAAAGCTGTTTTCGAATTGCTTAGGTAAACGATGAGCTAGGCTAACAGTTGGCAGCTCATGCTAACTCTGGGCTTCGAACTTCAAACCTTTTGGTTGATAGATCTTATAATTGCTGATGACTTACCAGCTGTGCTAAACCTGCGAAAAACAGAATTATAGATTCATAGTGTTGTAAGAGACCCCATGGGCCATCTAGTCCAACCCCCTTCTTCCAGGCAGGAAAAGCACTATCAAAGCCCTCCCGACAGATGGCCACCCAACCTCTGTTTCAAAGCCACCAAAGAAAGAGCTTCCACCACACTCTGAGGCAGATGGTTCCACTGCTGAACAGCTCTCACAGACAGGAAGTTCTTCCTAATGTCCAGGTCAAATCCCCTTTCCTGTAATTAAACCCATTGCTCTGAGTCCTAGTCTCCAGGGCAGCAGAAAGGAAGCCTGTTTGCTTTTCTTTAGGACATCCTTTCACATATGTATACATGGCTCCTCTCATGTCTCCTCTCAACTTTCTCTTCTGCAGGCTAAACAGTCACAACTCTTTAAGATGCTCCTCAGAGGGATTCATGGTCTCCAAACCTTTCTATGGACCTCTTCCAGCTTAGAGTCACTATCTCTTTTACATTGTGGTGCTCAGAATTGGACACAGTGCGATTCCAGGTGAGGTCCGACCAAAGCAGAACAGAGAGGCCCCATAATGGATGTAGTCTTACATACTCCTTGGTTGTTGCTCTCTGGGGCTGCATGGGCTTGCCCGCTCCCCATTCCCCTTCCGACCCTCTGCCATTAGCTAGCTACATGAGCAAGGGCAACTTGCACAAGAGCTCCAGACTTCCTGGTCGAATTCAGGACTGCCTTTTGACCTGGCTTTAAGGAGATGGACCTGGGTGCCATTTGGCGCCAGCTGTGAGCGTAAATCTTCCCATGCTTGATATTAATGCCTGGTTTTGACCTGCCCAGTGGCACCCCCTCCAGTAGCTTACCGGCTCAGGGAAGGTGGTCTCTCTGTCTCCCTCCTCCACCTTAGGAAGCCCCCCCCCCCATATGTTAGAGAAAAGCAATCTGGCCATGCTCTCTCTGTTTTTGACTCTCATCTTATTATTTGCTTAATGATACCCGAAATATGCAGAACACATCATGCGATGTGCGGGGCTGGATGAATGCAAAGCTGGGGTGAAAATTGCTGGAAGAAACATTAACAACCTCAGATATGCAGATGACACCACTCTGATGGCCGAAAGCGAGGAGGAGCTGAGGAGCCTTCTAATCAAGGTGAAAGAAGAAAGCGCAAAAGCCGGGTTGCAGCTAAACACAAAAAAAACCAAGATTATGGCAACAAGAATGATTGACAACTGGAAAATAGAGGGAGAAACCGTGGAGGCCGTGACAGACTTTGTATTTCTAGGTGCAAAGATTACTGCAGATGCAGACTGTAGCCAGGAAATCAGAAGACGCTTACTTCTTGGGAGGAGAGCAATGTCCAGTCTCGATAAAATAGTAAAGAGTAGAGACATCAGACTGGCAACAAAGATCCATTGCCTACTCAAAGCCATGGTATTCCCTGTAGTCACCTACGGATGTGAGAGCTGGACCTTAGGGAAGGCTGAGCGAAGGAAGATCGATGCTTTTGAGCTGTGGTGTTGGAGGAAAGTGCTGAGTGCCTTGGACTGCGAGAAGATCCAACCAGTCCATCCTCCAGGAAATAAAGCCCGACTGCTCACTGGAGGGAAGGATACTAGAGACAAAGTTGAAGTACTTTGGCCACATCATGAGAAGAAAGGAAAGCTTAGAGAAGACAATGATGCTGGGGAAAATGGAAGGAAAAAGGAAGAGGGGCCAACCAAGGGCAAGATGGATGGATGGTATCCTTGAAGTGACTGGATTGACCTTGAAGGAGCTGGGGGTGGTGACGACCGACAGGGAGTTCTGGCGTGGACTGATCCATGAGGTCACGAAGAGTCGGAACGACTGAACGAATGAACAACAACAACCCGAAATAACATTTGCATAGGGCCTAGGTGACTGTTAGTAAGTCTCAGGTAACCTTCAAGAGCTGGCATGGGCAAACTTTGGTCCTCCAGATGTTTTGGACTTCAGCTCCCACAATTCCTAACAGCCAGTGGGGTTCTGCTCCTTATTGCTTGCCCTCCTGTCCCAGAGAAGCTACAAATAGTTGCTGTGCCTGTTTATGTGAGAAGTGCAGCCCACTGTTCCCCTGTAACTTTGATATACAAACAAGCATCAGCTATACTTCTCTTGAAGCCCAGCTTACACAGTTCTTCATGTACACAAAGATTCCAACATCTGGTTGACTGTTTTAAACCGTAAATTGTTTTATATAGTTTATAAACGTTGTTTTCTCCAAAGTGAAATGTAAATAAAGATAAGAGCTGCTCAGTTGAAGCAGAAAACTTGTGAAGTGAGTTAATTGGATAAGAATCAGCACCTTGATTAGCTAATTAACTTGATTAAAAAACACATCTGAAGAACTGCTAATTTTTATGCATTGGCATATTCTCTGTTTCTTAACAGAACATAGACAATAGGTTGTTCAGTCTAACAACTGATGCCAATTGCCTTGCATAATTACATTTGCTTGTATACCACTTGAGAAGATGCTACTCAAATGGGGTTTTTGGCTCTTTTCTAAAAGGTTATATAAATACCATTTTCTATTATCTCTAAAAGGTCATGCTTTTCTAAAAATCATTTTCTTCTCTGGACTAATGGTTAGAGAGACATGGTTAACACTAAAGCCTGGGCTTTAGCATAGCTGGTTAATCACAAGCTGCAATAGATCTTTCTCAACTGAAAGCTTGGCAGTTTGAGCCCGGGTTGGGGTGAGCACCCGACCTTTGGCCTAGCTTACTGTCCACCTAAGCAGTTCTAAAACAGCTATGAGCTGTGAGTAGAGAAATTATGTAAAGGTAAAGGTTTCCCCCTGACATTAAGTTCAGTCATGTCTGACTCTTGGGGTTGGTGCTCTTCTCCATTTCTAAACCGAAGAGTTGGCGTTGTCCGTAGACTCCACCAAGGTCATGTGGCCAGCATGACTGCATGTAGCGCCATTACCTTCTCGCCGGAGCAGCACCTATTGATCTACTCACATTTGCATGTTTTCAAAGTGCTAGCTTGGCAGAAGCTGGGGCTAACAGTGGGTGCTCACCCCGCTCTCTGGATTCGAACTGGTGACCTTTTGGTCAGCAAGTTCAGCAGTTCAGCAGTTTAACCCACTGCATCACTGGGAGCTCCAGAGAAATTAGCCACCGCTTAAGCGAGGAGGTATTTTACGGCACCATAAAAGACAAGTGATCAAAGAACAGGAGGAAAGTTCATCATCAAAAAGGCTCATCATCATAGAGGATGGAGCAACAGCACCCCCTGTGGCCAAAATCGAGCACAACCTCCAGGACGCCAAAGTTGGAAAATGCCAATATACATCTTTCTATCCTGTATGTCTAACAGCATTGAATGTTTGCCATGCATGTGTTCTGTGATTCACCCTGAGTCTCCTTCGGGGTGAGAAGGGCAGAATATAAATGCTGTAAATAAATAAATACTGTAAATAAATAAGATTTTTTCATAAACACCCCAACACCACATGCCACTCACTTGATCTTGACGGCGTGCCCCATGAGCGTGACCAACAGCACACACTGGTCCACGGGCACCGGGAGCGGGTTGCCATAGCCAATCTCCACAGTGGTTGGTGTTGAGGACACAACACGGGAGGGCACCTGGGAGGGAGAATGGAGGGGGCTTCAGCAATTCGAAGGGACCGCTGGACACCCGGTCTTGGACACAGGGAGTGGGCAGAACGCCCCCACCACCACCACCCACACACAAACCTCCCACCCCCTGCAAACCTTGATGCGGATGTCAGGCCCCTCCAGCGTGATGGCCTTCTCCACCAGCAGCTTGACCCCACCAGGGACATCACACAGTGCCGTCACCAGCAGCTTCCGGTCATCCGTCAGCGCTGCCCCATAATGCCCATAAGTGATGCGCAAAGGGAGCTGCCTCTCTGGAGAAAAGGAAAGGGGCGTGAGGCCAGAGGAAGCAAAGGACCCTCATTCTCCCCAACTAGAATCATAGAAAGGTCCCCTGAGGCCATCCAGTCTAACCCCCTTTATTCTGCCAGGCAGGAAGAGCACCATCAAAGCCCTCCTAACAGATGGCCATCCGGTCCCTGTTTAAAAGCCTCCATAGAAGGAGCTTCCACCAGACTCCAAGGCAGAGAGTTCCACTATTGACTAGCTGTCATTTTATGGTCAGGAAGTTCTTCCTCATGTTCAAACTTTCAGTCATGAGTTTTGATTTATTACCAGTATATGTCAATTCTGTAGCTGTGTTTTGGTATAAGTTTTCATATGTTTATGTGTTTATCTATGTCATTAATTTATTGTATTTTTATGTTCGTTGGTTCTTTAATTTCTTGTAGCCTGCCTCAAGCCATCAGGAGAGGCAGGTAATACATAAAATGTATTGTTGTTGTTGTTGTTGTTGTTGTTGTTGTTGTTGTTATTGTTGTTGTGGCAGGTAATAAATAAAATGCATTATTATTATTATTATTATTATTATTATTATTATTATTATTACTGAGGTGGGTAATAATTGAGATGGATAATAAATAAAATGTATTATTATTATTAAGATAGATAATAAATAAAATGTATCATTATTATGATTGAGGCAGGTAATAAATAAAATTTATTATTATTATTATTATTATGGCGGTTAATAAATAAAATGTATTATTATTATTGAGGCAGGTAATAAATAAAATGTATTATTATTAAGATAGATAATAAATAAATTTATTATTATTATTATTGAGGCAGGTAATAAATAAAATGTATTATTATTATTACTGAGGTGGGTAATAATTGAGATGGATAATAAATAAAATGTACTATTATTATTATTATTATTATTATTATTAAGATAGATAGATAATAAATAAAATGTATTATTATTGAGGCAGGTAATAAATAAATGTATTATTATTATTATTGAGGCAGGTAATAAATAAAATGTATTATTATTATTACCAAGGTGGGTAATAATTGAGATGGATAATAAATAAAATGTATTATTATTATTGAGACAGGTAATAAATAAAATATATTATTATTATTGAGACAGGTAATAAATAAAATATATTATTATTATTATGGCGGGTAATAAATAAAATGTATTATTATTATTGAGGCAGGTAATAAATAAAATATATTATTATTGTTACTGAGGTGGGTAATAATTGTGATAGATAAGTGGTCCCTGGTCAAGTAGTCCCTGGTCAAAAAGGTTGGGTACCACTGGTTTAACCCATTGTGCCACCACGGCTCCAATGATGATAATGATGATGATGATGATGATGATGATGATGATGATGATGATGATGGTGATGATGCATGCTCCGGTGCCTGCTTCTCTCCATACATACCTTCCTTTCCTTGGAGACGGAAGGCGGTGGACTCCTTGAGGACTTCCCGGATGGTCCTGCGCGTGTAGAGGGCGGTGGCCACAGAGAGGTGGACGGTGACATCGGTGGGCTCCTCACGCAGGTTGGACAGGCTCAGCACCAGCGCCACGTCGCCCCCCAGCACAGGGGGCCGTGCCAGGCGGAAGCGCCCGAAGAGCCCGGGCTGCGAGATCAGATCCGAAGCCGGGGAGGCCGGAGAGGGGACCGACGCAGGGGGGACTCCCTCCTCCTCTGATGCCCTGGCCCTCGAACTCGCTTCCTCCTCCACCGCTTCCTCCGTGGGGGCCGCGTGGGACCCCGAGAGCTCAGCCAAGGCCCGACGATACGCGACACGCTCTTCGGGGGAATCTGGGGGAGATCCAAAGGGAGAGAGATCAATATATATAGTGGGAGAGACCACATAACCTAATCAGCTCTCTAATCTGTTGAGGACTGTACAGGAGTTAATTATAAATTGTATGATTTTAACTGTATTTGTGTTTAGATTGGCTGCAGTAATGCTGGAGCGGCCTAATTCAGAGGAGTCCTCCATGTGCGGCCTAAGTCAGAGGAGTCCTCCATGAGACCGATGCAGGAGAGAGGGAAGTGGGAGGAGCTTAGAGGGAAGAGTTTGAATAAACGACAGTTAAAAATCAGTTAGGGTTTAGGTTTAGAGGAGTGAGCAGTCAGGAGTTAGGTTCAGAGGAGTTAGGAGTTGGGAGAGAAGGAAAGGAAAGGTGGTGGAATGACTTGTGAAGCAAAACTTTGAGGCTTTGAAAAACTGGGTTTGGCTATTGGAAGTTTCTCAGGCTAGTGCAGCCGAATGGTGAAACATAGCTGGAATTCTTTTAGTCTAAGGAGAGGCTAAAGAATAGTTTACTTAGTATTTGATCTAGGGAGGATCAACTAAGGGAAACATCCCTGTATGGAAACTTTGTCTGAAACAAGTGCTCTACGTCAGAAAGATACTGTGTTACTTGAAAGAATGAACTGTTAAAGTTACAAGTATTATTCCAAGTGCAACAAGGAAAAGTTACGTCTTGCAACCACACGTGTGTACTTAATAAAATTGTTAACTTTTATTTGAAGATTGCCTCAGCTCCGTCTATTCTGTGTCCAAAGTGCCATTTCTCACAATATTACAACTTACCTCACGTGGTGGCAGAAACGTAGGGAAAAGTAACCAAATAAATCTACATTCTTCTCTCCAGTCACGCTACAGTATATACAGTGTAATTACTACTAAGTTATTACTTTCTTAATAAAGGAGGAGGTGCAATTGAACAGCCTCTCTTCTAACTTGAGGGTAAATTTGGTTCCTAATCGGCAACCTCCATTGCAAATCGGCTAAATCTTTTTAAAATTGGGAACTGGGGTAAAATCTCCTGAATACTGGTTTCTTTTAAATTGGTGGCAACAATAAATCATCCCTCAGCTCCCCTGCTTCTTTTCAGGAGGCTGGACTCTCCATCTTTGAAAGCCATGAATAATCAAAGGGGGCATCTACATCGTAGAGCAAATGCAGATTGGCACTGCTTTAAATGCTGCAGCTCAATGTGATGGAATCCCGTGAGTTCTGGTTTAACAAGGACATACAATCTTTGTCAAGACCTTGGAAAACTACAACTCCCAGGAGTTTATAGCACTGAGTTGTGGTGTCAAATTGCATTACTTCTGCTGTGTCTCTGACTGTGTTTGATGTTTCATCCTTTGGTGGAAAAGGGTATTAAAAAGAAATGTTGTTTGTGTGTATTCTTATCGTCATCGTCATTTTCATCAATATTGGATGGCCATTGCAATCTCATCCCATGAGGCTATGACTGCAGAAATGCATGATAGCAATGAGTAATGCGCCTCTGCATGTGAGAGGGGTCCTCGTGCACAACCAACTTTTAGCTCAATCCAATAGATTCAACAGATCTACTCCAAGCATGTTGAATGGTAATTCAATCATTAGCTAAAGCCCATTGAATCAATGGGCCTAGTCCTGTTTATTCTGCAAGTGCATTGCATGATAAGTCAGTCCTTGGTTCAATCCCACTGATCCAATGGGTCTAATCCATTTTACTTCGTGAGTGCATTGAATGGCACGTTCATCCTTGGCTGGTCCATCTGTTGAGTCTCTATTTTGGAGAGAAAAGGCAGGGTATCTATATCTGTTCACCTTAAGAACAGACAAGCATCCTGAGTTCTGAGGATTATTACCTGGGAAGGAATCCCACTGGA